AAAAAAAATATGAGGATCCTCAACAGCTAAGTTATATTATAAGATTTTCTATCACCCCTTAATTATTTTTTTATTTATTTTATATTGTAGCAGTGCAGCTTCATAATGTATAATTTCATGTAAATTCATTTTATGTACCTATTATTAATTAGTGTGAATGCCTTCCTGGAACAAAATTTGTAACTCTAAATATCTTAAATGATCTACTTTAAATAAATAGTTTTAACACCTTGCAATTAGTGATCATTCTAATGATCTTGTTCTCTTACTTAAGAGTATATTATTTTTAATTGTTATTCATTTTTATTCTTATCTTAATGTGTGTGGTGATGAACTGAACATCACCACAATGCTCAGTAAATAAAATTTATTATTTTTTTTTGATTTTCTTCGATATTCTCTCTTTTCTTTTTGTGTTTATTATATTATATATATAAAAAATAAAATGGGAGTATATATATACATAAACAAAATGAAACAATAAATAATATTAAAAAATGGAAAATTACATACTATTGCATAATTTAATATCAAAAGTCTTGTTTAACTTATATTTATTAAAAAATGAATTTCCTTTTAAGGGAATTAAAAAAAAACAATTGCGACATACAACATGTTAGATTCACTTAACACATAATAAATTTACAATTAAACGAATAATTAAAAATTTACAATTGAATGAATTATCGCACATGCATCTATTTCTTTATATACATAATATTTTGAATCCTTTTTTCGATAAAATTTTAATTATATTTATTTTAATTCTAACTTATATCGACTTGAAATCTGAGTACTCTAGCTTAGATATAAAAAGTTGAAATTTCAATTGCCGATAAATTGATTTCGCCAATGTTATGGCAATAAATTCTGCTTCAAGCGGTTAAGAAAATATTGTACATTTTATTTCCATTGAGCCCAGAACTCCCTTTAATCCAATCAGATTATCTCGTGATCTAATAAGAAAATGGTCAATTGATTGAAACTAAATACAATTTGGCGTTAATATGAAAATTAAATCTCTTTGTTGTGGTCAGGAGCCTATATTTTAAGTGTAGTCTTAAGGAGAGGGGTTCTAATGTAAATACAGCTACCAGTACGATCTTCTATACGAATGCTATCAGCATAGACCTGTACAGCATCTTAAGGAATGCAACAAATGATTTCCAGAGCCAACTGCCTAGGATGAGTTTGCTTGTTTGCAGAGGAATTCAAATCAAAGTGGAAGAAAACTCTTGGCAGTCCCTTAGATTGATCAATGCCAGATCTCTTTGACTTGGACTTTCTGAGGTGGATCTTACATCAGATTCCCTTTTTCTTGCGGATTTTCTTGTGGTCGGCGTCGTCCTGGGGCTTATCTGACCTATGTCAGATTAAGAGGATAAGCAACATGAAACGATTGAAACAGCACGCTATCTGCTGCATTTTGAGGATAACTAAGTTTTGACAAATCAGTAATGTGTTTGCTCCTCCCCGAGTGTTATTACTCAGTGAAAATGGGCCGTGTTACGAAAAAACGGCTTCTGTCGCTCTTGAAATTAATTTTTTCCCAGAATCCGATTTATGGATATAAACAGTTCTTCTCACTTGATTTTCAAATGTGTGTTTGGCAGCCAAAGCTTCCTAACTAATCCTGGACACCCTTTTTTACTAGTACTCCCTTTTCCATGGTGCTTAGCGCATCAGCCTACGACAACGAAGGTCCTTGGCTCAAATCCTGCCGGTAGCCAGCAGAAAGTCTTTTCCACTAGAATTTATAAACAGCAACTAATTCTTCTTTTTATTTTTTGATTTTGTCGTTTATTTAATTTTAGAGGTTGAGATAAAAATTTCCTTATTAATATTTTTGATTTGAAAAATCGAGTCTCGAGGGAAAAAAAAAACTCTACTTATCTCGAGCATGGGATACTAGAGTCTTCATTCAGATTAAGCATGAGTGAAGCCGTACGAGTCGGTGATACGGATTAAAAAAATCGATAAAAAAAATCGTTTAAGACTCCAAAATCAAAATCAGCTAATTAATACAACATAGCAAAAATTTTTTATGCATTTGTAAATAAACTAACTTTCTTTTTCTCATTTTCTTTCGCGTTAAACGATCCCAGAGTACAAATTTATAAAAATTTGTTTGATAGAATTTTATGATTGGATTGTACAAGTATCTAATTACATTTTAAATAATAAAAAAAATTTTTTTTCTGAAAATGTATTTACAGTTCTGTATTATTAATGTCAAAATGTAAGCATATAATTATAAAATTAGTTCATTCAATTATAAATTTATAAAACATTTTTAATGCTTAAGATTAAATGATATAATATAAAGATTATTTTGTAAAATCTTACTTTTAATTAAAAATGAAAATTTAGCATTTTTTAATTCAAACATTTTACTTCTACTCCTTTTACGCATGAATTTGAATATGTTTCATATTTTATATTTAATAATCGTCTTTGAACAGCCTACCCAATTGTTTGAGTTTACGATTACTAATGTTCAACTCCGTAGCCTTGTCATTTTGAACCCAATCCAGAAGACAAGAAAACTCTTGAATCAAGTATTGAGAGAAATCAGCCTTCATAGAAAATGTTTTATTGGACTAACCAGCAATTGCGTTACATAGAAGAAAACCTTCCATGGAGAGTGCTACTAGAGTGCTCTAACCCATGATCCGTCTACCACTGAGGATATTTTTCGTCAGCACTGTGGTCGGTGCAAGCTGGATGCGGAATCCATATCGATCAGCCATCGCTGGGACTCGTACCCGGTCCACCTCCTTGGAAGGCGAGCGCTCTATCCCCTGAGCCATCACGGCTCAATTTCATATTTTGAAATATTTTATGACACAATAACAACAAAATTTCAAGAATTCATAAGTCATCCCATTTATTATGCATAAACATTTAATATTTTGCTCTTATATTTCTATTTAAGCAATTTTAAGCAAAAAATTTTAAATTGAAATAACTTTTCAACCTTCTCATTT